TCTTTACTCGACCATGCCAGTCTGTTGCTTGTAAGCAGTGTTGCAAAGCATTACTAGAGAGGTTAAAAAATCAACTGGATGAATTGAGAGCAGAGAGCTGTAGTGAAGGAAAATGGTGAAGTAGAAAAACAACAAGACAAATTACTGGCCCATATGTTAGCCAGGACCAGAAAGGCATGACTGTAGCATGTTTTTATTATATGTAAGACCCATAATTGTTCTCCTAAGGACCCAAGTGAGAACACTAAAGCCAGGGAATGTGATTCCAGTTTGCTTGATCCCAATTCCACAGAGCTGCTCTCTCAAAGAGACAAGAAAAGTCATTGTGAATCACTTACACAATGAAACACAAATCTTTGCCCTTGGAAATCCAGTGTCAGTTGTTCCATCATACTTCTTTCTGGTATCTACATTCTGTGATTTTCCTATCATATCTTGTCATTATGTTTTTCTTTGATGTGGTATAGATGGTGGATTGGTGCTTTTTTATTTAATGTCACAAAACTTGACGATAAGTAGAAATATTTTAGAAGGAAGAATTGCTAGGTACAAGTTTTAAACCAATTGTGCTCAGGTATTCACATAATGGCTGGTAACTGGTGATTACTATTGCCTACCAATTCTGCAGAATCTTGAATCATCTAGTCATCTAGGTGACAAATGTAAGTATATATCTGTGGGAGTGTTTCTAGACTAGGTTGAGGTAGAAAGACTCACATTAAATATGGGCAGCAAATTTTCATGGACTGCAGACCAGGAATGAATAAGGAGAATAGGGAGGAGAAACTGAGCTGAGCATGAGCCTCTCTCTCTCGTTCTCTCTGTCTGTCTCTGTCTCTGTCTCTCTCTGTCTCTCTCTGTCTCTCTTTCTGTCTCTCTCTCTGTCTCTCTATCTATGTCTCTGTCTCTCTCTTCTTCTCCCTCTCTCTCTCTCTCTCTCTCTCTCTCTCTCTCTCTATCTCTATCTCTATCTCTATCTCTATCTCTATCTCTATCTCTATCTCCGCTCCCTGACTCCAGACTTAATGTGACCACTGGCCATAAACTCCTTCTGCAATATCTATCCCACCATGATGGACTATATCCTTGAATTGGGAGGTGAATTAAGTCTTTCTTTCCTAAAGATGCTTTGGTCTGGTATTTTGGCAAAGCAAGAGGTAATGAATACTTAGTTCAATTCACGCTTATTTTGTAAGTTATAGAATTTATGAAAAACATTTTATACCCTTTCATATTGTCTAAAACACCTGTCCTCCTCCTTTAATAATCACACTTAGAGCTTAGCACATAAATATTGGCTATCTGATATTTAGTTCTTTCCAGTTAGTTGAGGACATATATCATCTCAGTGATTGGTGTCAAGACACTTGGTAAGACTAAAAGAGCCTTCAGATCCAGGTTCTTCATATGTACAGTCAGGAGGGTCTCATAATATCGATAGACATTATGGTATGTGAGTAGAAAGAATATATAGGGAGATTGGAGATATAATTCAATTGTTAGAGTGCTTGTCTAACATCCATAAGATCCTGAGTTTCATCCACAGTACTGAATCAACTGAGCATGTAGTACCTGTAATCTCAACAGTACTTTGTTGCAGGCAGGAAGACCTGAAGTTCCAGGTAATTCTCAGCTACACAGTATGTTTAAAACTAGCCTGGTATGCATGAGACTATCTCCCCACATAACAAAACAAAAAAGAAATACTATATAGGACTGTCAGGTAACATAAATGAAATATATATGTGAATATGTATTAATGGGCCTGAATGTAGACTCTCAATAAGTAGAAAATTGGAATGAAATGCCTTTTAGAAGTCTTGATAATTATTTTATAGATACATGTTAGTTGACTTAATAAGATGCCTGAAATTCAAATAGCTATAAAACATGTGATCACTCGTTTCTTCAAAGTTGAAGAAACTTACCATTGTCTTCATATTGTCTTCCCATGGCTTTAGCCTCTGATTCGTGCATCTGGCCCAAAAAGGACACTTAGCTCTGCTAGTGCTCTATGACAAGATTCTCACTGTTCCACATCTGCTGGAATTACTCAACATATCATCTCAGTTCCCAAACACTGAACTGTTGTAAGAATGAGTAATCTGTGTGCTCTCTTGATGTCGTGTTTAATACTTTACAACAGCCCCACAATTCTTCTGCACTTTGATATTCCATTGCCTGTGCGCTGCTTACTTTTGTAATTCTACAGAAGGAATATTGCTGTAAGCAATTGAAAGGAATCTTGTGAATGTTAGGAGGGGAAAGACTCTACCCCCATGGATTGAAGAGTAAAATCTCATTCCAAGTTCGAAATTCTTAAACAAATGTCTGGGTTCTATCCTTGATAAGTAGGACAAGGTAACTATATAGTATAATTTCTCCACAAAACCAATTTCTACCTAAAGGGCACAGCACATGTAACTAGAAAATGCAAACTGCCACATGAACAGTAAACAGTGTGCTATGTATGTCTCAAGTTTACTCTTCTTTATTTTTATTCGTGTGTATGTGTGTGTGTGTGTGTGTGTGTGTGTGTGTGTGTGTGTGTATGTGTGCCTGCAGAGGGTCAATCTCCTGTCAATTACTCTTCATTTTGATGTTGTCAATGTTTTAGATTTTTTTCTTGTTTAAAGCAAGGTCTTCCATTGACATAGAACTCACCAAATAAACTAGGGAGGATGGTCAAGGTGACTTAGGTGTGTCTCTGCCTCACCAGTACTGGAATTACAAGCATCTGTGGTTGTTTTTCTGTGTTATGGGGATTTTACTCCAGTCCATATGCTTGTAGTACAAGAAAGTTAGCAACAAAGTTATCTTCCCACCCACAGGTTTTATTCATCTTATGTGTTAGCCATCAATTTTATGAATTAAACTTCCAAATCTGTTGGTTCTTTCTACTTCTTTTTTTTTATATTTACCATGACAACAAAGAGACTTGGAGCTGACACTGAAGAAGAACAGTAATAAAAAACTACTTTGCTTGCTATTGGCAGCAAGGCTATACAGTGGAATTTCTCATGTTCTCCTCCTGATGACTAAAATATAGCATGCTGTGATGTCTTCTGAGTACTTTGAGCTTGCACACTGAATTGAAATATACTCCTACTTGCCTACTAGTTTATAAATACTAATAACACTGTGTTTTCTCTCCCTTATTATAATAAATGTTAATAGGGTAACAGGGATGTAGTGTCAAACAAAGAAAACCATTTGGGGCCCAGAAAAATGGCTTATAAGGTTAAAGGTATGTGCCATTGAACCTGATGTCCTAAACCACATAGGAAAAGTGAATCTCAACTCCTGAAAGCTGTCCTTTGGCATTTAGACCTGTGCCATGACACAGTACAACCACATACAAATAAATCAATGAATGTCATTAACTTTAAAATAAAAATACTTTGTTTTATTGCTCTAATATACATCTTTTCTGTTTGTTGTTTTTCTAGAGGAGAGCTCATTTGATTTTCTGGAGTTAGGAACTCAGTACTTCCCTCTCTCCCATGGCCTGCAATGCACTACCATTCTTCCATGAGAAGGAAAAAGAACCAACCTCCCTTTTGTTATGAGGTGAAAAGTTGGGTGCAGTTAATGTAGACCTACTGGCAGTGAGGCAACCCCAAGGAGAAGCATACCTAGAGAGAAAATTAATACCTTCCTGCAGAGAAGTTAAATAGTATCCATACTAAATCAGCTGCTTGGTATTCAGGTCCCTGGTTTACCCTTCCAGGGCCAGTCCTTGTATCAAAGGAAAGGGCAGGGACTCCTCCCATTAAGAAGAACAAAACAAATGTTTTCTCCTGACACTTAGGGTTTGGTTGGTTTTGTAATTTTGTTCTTGTTTTTTTTTTTGTTGTTGTTGTTTTGCTTTTTCTTTGTTTTTAATTTGGTTGGGTTGGTTTGTTTTTATTTGTTTGTTTTGTGCCTTGTAGACTTTTATGACAAGCTCATTTTTGTAAATTCATGTTTTAAAAAATTAAGTTAATTTATATTTTGAGTCCTGAAAATCGATTTTAAGTATGTAGATTAAGAGATATAAAAAAGTTATACTATACATTCCTATGCATAGGAATAGTGTATTATCAAATGACCTCTGACAAAAAAAAGTCAATGTAGTGCTATTATATGCTTAAAGGTAGATGAAAGATATGAAAATAAATGCTATTCTACTCTCATGAAGACAAAGAAAACAAAACAGATCACTTAGTGCTTCAGTGACTCCATTTGATGTGTGAGAAGATGCTCCCATGTATGCTATAGTGACCTTGTACAAAATGAGTGAGTGTGAACACCTGCAAACCTGCAAACATGCATAATTCAAATGCATAATTCAGCTAGCACTCATTTTCAAAACTAATAATAATGATTAATAATAATAACAATAATTGTAGTAGTAGTAGTAGCAGTAATCAATGTGTACTTGCCCATGAGTAGCTATAACCCTAGCACCCAATTACATAATTAGGTAGATCTTAAAAGTTTGTTGACCACCGATACTAGCCCCAAATACAAGCTGATGGGTCAGTAAGAGAATTTGTTTCAAGGCAATAGTAAAGATAAAGAGAAAAAGTGAGATATGAAGTTTTTATCTCAGTTTCCATATATGCACATCTATATATTCATGTTGATATAACACACACACACACACACACACACACTCACACACACACACACACACACACCTCACATAAAGCAGATACTCAATGCTTGGCAAGACTGTACAAGCATGAAGATGTGAGTTCAGCCCCTAGAATTCAGGTAAAAGCAAGCTCTAGCAACTCATGCTTGTAATCCCAGTTGGGGGCACAAGGGCAGGGATCAAACATAGCATCAGAAATATCCTTAGGGTTTGTTTGTCAGTCAGCCTGGCCAAATCAGAAAGCTATAAGATCAGTGATAGGGTGCCCTAAAAGGTGGGGAACAGTGTTCAAAAAAGATACCCTACATTCACTTCTGGCCTCAACAGTCATATCCACATATAAGCATAGGTCTGACCTTACCCAGGTTCAGGTATAAGGCTAGTCTGCCCTTATGGAGCTCTAGGGTGATGTGGTCTCCACGTTGTCCTTCCCCATGGAACAGAACCCCATCACGTTGCATGCTCTTGAACTTAAGAGAGATCACATCTTTGATGGTGCTCATTGTCTTCTGATTGAACCTATATAGTAGTGAACTCTGGCCATCAAAGTCAGCAACATCCAATCCTGAGAGCAGAGAGAAGAGAGAAAGAAACATCAATGTATTTCCTCATAACAGCTTTTCTTGCTTCTCATCGTTGATACTGGTCAGTTCACAGGAATGTTCCTGAAATCTAGAAGATCTCTTTTACAAGGAGACATATAGACTAGAACAAACTTACATAAAGTTCAAAGCATTATTCATTTGTAGGCATTACAGACACACTAGACTGACATAGAAACTCTCATTAGTGATTGTTTAAGAAAATAAGAGAACAACAATAAAAAGCAAGTCCTGGAAAGATAGCTGTTCCATAACTCCCTCCAAGGAGGACTATTGAGTATGAGAGCTTCAAGTCCATGGTTGGGCCTTCATATGGGAGGGATAGTGTTAGACAAAAATAGTACAATACAGGTGATCTAGAAATGAAGGGCCCTTCAATGTAATAGAAGCTTGCATTAATGCCTGGGAAGACACATCAAAATGGAAAGAATAAGAGGAAGACAGACAAAATGAAAGAAACATATAGCTGCTATGCAAGGAATACTAAGACAGCCTGGAGAAGCCTCCTCAGAGGGCAGCATTTAGAGTTCCTATGAAGAAATCTCTCTGACAAGTCTTGGACTCATCCTTGAAACAAATGAAATACTCAAATATTTTATAACCTTTCAAGGGTTGAAGACAGACTGCTTCTTAAGCATTTTTCAGCACCAAGAGTTGCAGTGAGCTGTGGCCTGGTTTGGGCTATGTGATCTGATATAAAATCCATGTCCTAACTGTGATGTGACAGTCTATACTCATATTCTGCCTCCTTCTTGTTTTGTTCTTATTGTTAAGACAGTGACTCAGATAGCCCAGGTTGTTCTTGAATACACAACATTTTCTAGGATGAGTTTGCACTTATTTTCCTGTCTCTATATCCTGAATGTTAGGATTACAGGAGTGACTTTGAATTCACCTTCCTGTCTCTCTGTCCTGAGTGCTAAGATTACAATAGTGTACTATGTTCCTGGTTTTATTCAGTTCTGGGAATATCTCAAGGTCTTGTGCATTGTTCATACTCTCTCAACCAGCTGACTTTCCTTCCAAAGTCTCATTTTTTTTTTTTTACTGAACATGGTTCTCAGCAATTAGGCATACAGGATGGTCATTGAGCTCCAGGGACCTCCTGCTTCCATCCTAAGGCTAGGATGATAGAAATGTGTCACTGATCCAAGCTTACAACACGTGTGCAGAATTCATGTTGTGATGCTTTTATTGTGATATCATGCATATCACGACTTAGAAATCTCCATATACCCTTGGTAGAATTATTTTAAATAACTTACATATTCTTTTATTATTTTTATTACAAAAATACACTGCAAAATGATATTACTTTTACAATATAAAAATGTGAGACTACCTAATTATAACATGGAAGGAATTCATCATACACCATCTTTTCAGGGTAAAACAGGGGTGAAGGGCTGAGTGGACATAGTACAATTTTCCTTATTTGCAATCCAAGAGCAACAAAAATTCAAATTTTCAGTATTTACTATGTAATTAAAATTCTTTAATTGAGTATTCATAATGAAAACTTTTTTGTTTTTTTCTTGTTCAAGGATATTGAATCATCCTTAATAAATAAAATTTTGAAATGAACAATCATGATTCTCTTTAATTACCTGGAAAGTAAAATTCCATAATTTATTCTTTACATAATATAGTTTTTAAGAGATCTCCAATGACTCTAGATTGTACAATGCAACTGACAAGACATATGGATGATTTCACAATATCCTGTGCTTTGCAAAACCTTCCCAGTAGATGCTAGTGTTACATCTTTGCATACTGTGTTCAGTGGACTTCAAGCTGAACCTAAGAAGTTCTTGGCACTGTTAGTCTATCTGGGGTAGTGACCACCATGGCTGGAAAAAAACATAGAGCTATACTTCACTAGATGTATGATCTTTGTAATTTTATTTCTATAAGATTTAAATTCATAAATAAGAGCTATACATTCGAAACACATTTAAAATATTCTTTAAAAAAACCTTCAGGGCTGGGAGTATGACTCAATAGGTTAAATGCTTCCTGTGCATCAATGAGAACCAGACTGAGCTCAGATCTCTAGTCATCCTTTAAAACAACCAGAAGTATCTGTAATCCTAGAACTGTGGAATCAGAGACAGTAATATCCTAGGGTCTTACTAACTAATAAGAATAGCTGAAAAGGCAACCTTCAGATTCAATGTGAGAACTATTTCTAATAATAAAGTATTTGTGGGGCTGGAGAGAAGGATAAGTGGTTATGAGTGAGTAGCACTATTTCAGTTCCCAGCATTCACACGAATGGTTCACAACAAAGTATTGCTCCTGAATCTGGTTGCCCAGTGCCTGCTGGACCTTACAGCACAATCACATGTGCACATATTCCAACCCCAAATATATATTCATAGATAAAAGTAAAATTAAACAAATATTATATAAATAAAGGGCTCAGAAACCAAGAAAAACATCTGATATCTACCTCAAACATGAATAAAGTACTGAAAGCATCCAGACATGTTGGAAGGTAAAACATGGGAGAGTCAGTTATAATCATATTATATTGCATACATGTATGAAATAATCAGAGACTAAATGAACAAAGAACATAAGAAATAGGTAGTCTAATAATGAAGTGTGTCTGCACAAGTCACTTAATAAAACAATAAAATATATACATACCACCTTACCAGACATCCAGACACACTATTTGTTTTAAATCAGTTTAAAGTACATTATCAGTTGTGACAGGTTAACTAAAAAAGGATTGAGATCATGAACTTTTATTCTATTGGATAGCCATAAACCTTAACCCAAATGGTACTGATTTACCCTGGTCTTAAGTTTTACTGTTCATTGAGTTCCAGGCTGAGCCCAAGCTTCTTTCTGAATGTTAGATTCAGCAGGTTTGGATGGTGCTGTTGAAATATTCTATCTGTTCAGCTATGCATTCTGTGGATTCTTGATCTCTTCTGATTATTGTCACTCTGCCACAGTAGCAGCAGTTGAAGCTTTACTGCCCTACGGTGCATAGAACAACAATATAACACTCATAAATGAATGGAAAAAGCAATGCAAGTTGGGTATATCCATAGAGAGACTTCTCAGGTTCAGATTGAAAAGGAAGAACCAAATGCACAAAGGAAACATCAGTATGCTGGTTCTGGATGATACACTTGAGAAGACATGGATCTTTCTCACAGGGTTGGGTGGTGGGTCAAAGGAAAAAGAATACATGAATCTCAGTGATCAAATCAGATTATGGGCAGCAAGACCTCTGCTTTCCAGCATACTTACTTCCCACAGGCTGAGGAACACAGTGCAAGGGGTGACACCTTAGCAGTACCTGAAAATCAAGCTTTATTCAAAGGAGCATCAATCCCACCTCCATGGCAAAATACAGTGTTTAAACTGTATTTACATTTCCACAGCGTGAAGAGCATCACTCCATTAGAGTATCACTGCATAACACTGTTTTAAACTTCTCCCACATCACCCTGTTTATGATGCAGACCTGAATTCTGAGGATTTCTGATCTCAAGTGTTTGTGTCTCAGGACAAAGGATTGGTCACGGAGGACACATGGTTATAAGTAGGAACAGTTTATTGAGAAAGGAGAATTACTCCTGAAGATGAAAGCAGGCAAACATGAGGAGGAAAGGGTAAACCATGTTTTTAACAGTCCTGGGCCAGGAGACACATACCTCTTTATTGGATAACTATACAGCATTTGCCTCTCACTCCTTTGTGTGGCATGAGATTTTTCACATACACACACACTTGTACTGTATGAAGGCCAGGCAGGGAAGAGATTCCAGTCTTTCTCTGCTAGGTGGCTCCATTCATATGTTGATATTGATAATGCTGTTTCTAGTAACTAGTCTCTTATCACATTCCTATACTGGATACGTCAAAATTATACAGTTTTAGTAGAGTCTGACAGTGATCAGAACATGTTCTATCTGTGTTATGGGTAAACACAGATAGACAAAGTGTTTTTTGCAAGCCAAAGAAGACAACAAGGAGAAAGCTGAGATCTTTAGTAGGTCAAACATAGAAACCATAGGCTTCACTTTTTTGTAGAATTATACAGAGTGATACACCTGTTTAAAAACTAAATGTTTAACATAGAAGGAGACATATACACATGCACACAGGCGAGCATGCACATACACACAAACATACATACAATTTTGTTATCATTTTTTTCACTTTCCATTTCTTTCATGATCTTACATCAGAATATCATTGGCCACCAGAACCCTTTGAAGCCTTTAATTGTTCAATTTCTACATTCTAGAAGTTTCCTTCCTGTTAGAGTTTCATGGTCTCCCCTTCATTACTACCTTCTTGAAGTTTCTGGATAGCCTTACTGATGAGATGTAATGCCAAAAACATGCATTAGCTCCAATGAAAACAGATCTGTTTTGTGTCCAAAATAGCTAAAGAAATCTGAGATTCAATTAGTGAAACATGTAAAAATGTTTCATTCTGGTTCTACAGCTTGTTAGATGATGCATTCAGCAGAATTCTGGACTTTCACACATTATATTTCTATTAACTATTTATGTGGCCTGCAGAGACCCTAAAGACCCAATGAGAAGTACAGACATATAGATACTTACATGTAAATACACTTTCCATATCTACTCATCTCATTATGATTCCAAAGGAGCTTTCAAGTGGAAAAAATTGTGTGTGAGAGATAAAGATGGCGTGAAGACTGGTGTGAAGAAATTATTAGGGAGTTTGTGAGGGAAGACTTTGATAATTTTTTTCAAACTTCTGAGTATGTATGAGTATTCATCTGTATGTGGATCATCTCTATCAACCTGATTCCCAATTGCCATGGCTCACAGGACATGTAGTAGAGTGCATGGTAAGAAAGAACTGATGAATGGATGAACTGGACTCAGAACATAATACAGCCTTAAACACATAAGAAAGATAAGATATTATCTTTCATCCTGGAAGTCTCTCTAAATCTGAAGAA